AGTTGTATTTTCAAAACTCTGTCCCATTTTCAGATGTGAAAATTTCTGAACGCACATTTGACAGATTGGATGAAATTTTTGCCCACAAACCAATTAGTCAGTTAATTGATGATGGTATGAAACCAAATTGGGGTACTGGAAGTAAAAATCTCGGAAAAAATTGGAAAATCATACTGTCCCATACTCTGTCCAATTTTCAGTTTTTGAAGCTGAAACTTCCAGGGCCGAAATTTTACAGTTTTGGCCAAATTTCTGACCCGCAACTAATTAGTCAGTCAACTTTAGATGCCAAATGACACGATTGAGGTGCTGGAAGTTTGATTCGGGTCGGAGGAAGCTCACAGCAGAAATCTTAAGAAAACGAAATAGTAAGGGGAAAAGTGGCATTCCGTTGGATCGGTTTGTTCACGACGATTTCTCAACGGAATATGGTAGTTAAGACCCTTACGAACATAATTAGACTTGTTGCCAATTTTGTATCTCGCCGCCACACCCTTTTTTTGCCACGCCCATTTTGAGGGTCTCGCGTGTAGTGAAAATCAGAGTTTTTGATAATTTTGGTCGAATTAGTCATGCTATATATCAAACTAGGGGTATTAAGACTCGAGAAACACGTTGCAACTATCTATTTTAGTCTAAAACAATTCAAAATCAACATTTCGATAAATTTTATTGAATTTTGATCTTGAAAACAGGAATAAACAAAGTTTCCCATCTCAAGGTACTGAAATGATATTTAAAACAATCAAATCTAGTATCATTGTTGGACTGAAAAATACTCAGAATACCATAGGCATTTGGTATAATAGAGAAACATCATAAAACAAACTCCTCGCCAAGTGTAAACACGCTGGCAGTGAAATAAACAAGGTACAATATACTGACGAAATATGGTACAATTCAAAATTAAAGTGCACTTCATAACCAAAATATTCATATATATTGTGTTGATGCATTTTGATCATAGTTCATTAAAATTTGTTCATTGTGAAGCACTTCATTTAAAGCTAGTCGACGGTTTCAAACATACTATCTTCGTTATCGCAGTCTATGCATAAACAGGCTTCTGAACACCTTTGATTGTTTTTGTGGCAACCACATTGGTTGTTCACGCACTTGTTCTTTTTACATTTGCAGGTTATCATCTCTATACAAAATTCCGGTGCAGGTAAAATGTCCGTCATGACAGCTGCCAATCTGCCATCTTCAATCTTCCACCCCTGGTCTACAGAACAATCGGGAAGTGTGGGATGAAAGCTTAAAATTGAACGTTTCCACATGAGTGTGACGTAGTTTGCTCGTTTTATATGGAATTTAAGTGCTGCTTCCGTTGGAGGCAGGACTTCTCCATCTTCCTGATGTTTGGAATATAGCTCCCATCTCAAGGAGCCAACGTCCTTGACATTAGAGTATCTATTGAGATCGTCTTGTCTCTTTATATACAGTTTTACAGTGAACAAACTAAGACAGTCAATCACATCATGTGCGATTTCTTCACCTCCACCGAACAGTTTCAGGCCTCTCATCATAGCTTCGTCATCGGCAAACAAACGAAGTGTTTTTAACGCCCTTGATTTGGTGATTTTGTTGAACCTGCCTGTGTAATCACATCCCGTGAAAATGTAAGCTCCAAGGAGGGCCTCGCATAAACTTAATCCAAGAGAATTCACCACCGACTTTATTGGGACTACTTTTCTTCTTTTACTCGTTATCAGCTCAAATATTATGTCCATACCAGTTACCTGCGTTGTAAGATATATAGCTAGTATAAACACATCGGTATCTGGAGATACTATCCGAAATGTCGGAGGGTTCACAGCATCAGAGCTAAGCTGCCTGATAATGCACAGCAAAAGTGTATCAGCTTCGTGCTGGCTATGTGTTTCAATTTCCCACTCTGGCATATTTGATAGTATCTCAGTTCCTTGCACAATGATAAACAACTTGTGCAAGGAACCTAATTCAGCCATGACCATCTTTGAGAAAAACTGACACATGATTTTTTTGTTCTCTGGGTGAGACATAAGCTCCTTAAGTTTGATGTTTTTGATAATGGTCCGCTCTGACAGTTTGTATTCAATTTGATTTTTGTGTCTGTCACACCATGTCTGTTTCTTCAAATTGGACAATGATTGGTCGTAACGATCAAATACTAAGACAACCTTTGGATACAGAGAAGTTTCGTCAATAATCCGTTTAGTAAATTGTTTCGAAAGATCTTCTAGTGTAACAATATCTGGAGACATTTTCAGCTGGTTTGCAATACCCATACCGTCAATAACAATAAAGTCCTGCGATGGGGAATGTGATGATTTCTCTGTTGAAACTCCGACGTGACCAATTATATCATTGAAAAAGTCAGACTTGTCAGTGCACTTCAATAATCTTCCTTCAGAGTTGAACAAAGAGTGAGGAACCACGCTAAACTCGTAAGTCTTCACCAGTTCTGCAACATCCAGGCTTGATCTTGAGCGTGATATTACGAGGAGACGTGTCATTAGCCCTCGCTCCTCTCTGAGTTTAACAATCTTTTCTGTGGTCTTGATCGTTATGGCTTTATTCAGAGTCTTGAAGGTTTTCAGTTTCCGTTTTGTTAATGTTTCCCATATAGAGACGTTTGTTTTCGACCCTTCAAATCTTTCAGTTGTGAAATCATTCAACATTACCTCCCCAATTTCTTTGATGTTCAGTATCTCCATATCGTCTTTCAGTACGGTGTGAGACATCACATTGAACACTATTTTGGTCGTCTTCAAGTCAACATCAAGGAAATCAACTAACGCAGCTTTGTAAATTTGGACTCGTTCGGTGTGAAACTTTTTATAACCATTTGCGTCTTCATAATGAATATGGTTTGTTGTATCAGGATTTGATGTCTCAAACTGCTTAGTAAATTGCTCCCGCAGTAATCGTTTAATCGGTGCAGTTAAAACGTACGTGTCAATTCCTTCGTCTGACAAACCTACTATCCCTCCCATCGACTTAAGCTCTTTGTTAACTTGCTCAAGACAGTGGTCCACTCCTATCGCTACGAAAGGCGCTTCAGTTTTATTACAACAAAAATTTTTGGAGAGGAATAACCACGTTGCTGGATCTTCGGTTCGGAGTTTATTCATTGAGGACAAGTACACAGGTGTCATTCTGGCGTAGTTTTGCAAATCCAAAGCAAAGAAGTATTTTGTGAATTTATCCAATGATACTAGGTGTAAGTTCCAAAGTTGTTGCCTTGTAGCTCTCATAAACAGTAACATTGTTTGTATCATTTCTAACACATTATTGAGAAACTTTCCCTGTTTCGGAAGATCTTCCCTGAATGTCTGGAACTTTGAAAAGATTTTACCCGACTTCAATTCCTCGATGAGCTGATTGTGACAGGAAGGTACATCTTGTAAGCCTGTTCTCATCTTATGCAGAATGGGACCGACAATTTCTTTTACCTTTTCCTTAGATTCATCGTCAGTGTCCAGAAATTGATCGTATAATGTCTGAAAAATGGACGTGTATAATATCAGGCTAGCAGCCACGCACCGTTTCATGTGCTTTCCTTCTAGAATCTTCCCTATGGCTAATGGACCGTAAATACCGCAGTGACTGAACAGCTTCTCGAGTCCACTATTGTCGATATATTTCCCAATAGCTCTACACATAGCAAAAACTACATGTAACTCGCCCATCCTGAATATGAAGTGATCTCCGATATCCCCTTTGGAATACAACTGTATCGCCTTTATGTACAGCTGCAGATCTAAAGTGACGATCGTTTTTTGATCTGGTGTGATTTTTGTAGATATGCCTTGGCACATCTTCAATGCTGTATACAGTGTCGACCAATCTGTAGGCGGTGACTTTATAAGAGGAAGCATTGCAATGTTTGTGACCCCAGCTTTGGAACAAAGTCTCGCGTTGTATGATTTCCAGGTAAGTGTAAACTGATTTTCTTCATCATATAGCTGTTGTAAGCCCCAGGTTTCGTCGTAATGTTGATATCTTTGCTCGTCAACACATACAGTTCCACGATACTTTGGAAGAGGTGGAGATAACATCTTTGGGGGGTAACATTGCTGCAGCTTAACGTTGAGATCGCTCCGTGTGTCATCATTTTGAGTTGATGATACCCTTGACAACTTAATCACTTGTTCTCCCAACTTAACATCATTCTGGAAAACTGTTATCAATGTACCATGGAGCTGACCTTTCCCATCTTTACTGTCCCGCTGGAAATCAGAGTTATCAATGGCAAAATAGGGTCTTGTTTTTTTGCAGATTGTTAAAGGCACGTAGCAGTTGTTTTCATCTAAACAATGTACCTTGGCGTAACTCTCGATGCAATCTTCAATGAGCTTTATTTTTTTGTAGTCTTCAGAAACGTTAAGGCCCTTCGTTTCCGTAATAATCTTTTTGCTCCGAGTACTGTTGTGGATGGAGAGTCCTAAACCAACAGAGAAAGGGGTTTCATTACTGTGGAATCGCTGTTGTGGGCCATTAACATCACCTTTGGCTAAGCTTCTTCTCACAGATCGATCACTTTTCGTGTTAATGGAGATGAGCTGACACAGCATATCTATTGTCTTGCTGGTTTCTTTAGCCTTAAATTGTGTAAGATCGCCGGTAACATCACCATACAGCAGCCATTTCAGAAACGATTTCAATTCAATAGGAGACTGGAATGAGGTAAAATCTCCTGTAAACGTCCATTTGCTTAGCTCTGCGTCCTCCATCGACTTTCGAATCACAAGTGCTGCCTTACGAATATTCCACATATTAAGATCCTCAATCAATGCATCAACTGCAAAAGAGACAACTCTAGTAGAACATACAGTATCAGGACGATTTTTTAGTGTGTTCGGGATGAAGACTATACCACTTAGATTGTCAAGAATCAATTCCTTAATGTGCTTTT